TTTGTGAAAATTTAATTTTTCACATATTGGCATTTTCAAGGTGTGACTTTAAAGTTCCATGATCTTGAAGACTTTTGCTTGTCACATTTTCTGAATGTCCATGTTACTAATATTTTATTAATAACATTTGATTGTCATTATGCTGTTAAACATTATGTAATGTTGCATCAAAATTTGAAGAAACCCCTATTTTGGGCACTGCTCCTATGATGACCATTTAAGGGAAATCATGTCACTTACTGTTCTCAAACTTACAGGAAAGAAACATGGGTCTAACATACAGCTTCAATAGGCAACGCAGTCTGTTTGGTAAATTTTTCTGGCAATTTAACAGTTTTTTGTGAATATTTAATTTTTCACTTATTTGCATCTTTATTTTCTGTTCTTTGTCTGTACATTTGACAGCTTTGCTGCCTTGTTACATTAAAAATAATTATCATGCCAAAAATGGTAAGAAATGGTGAAATCATAATGTCTTTATTGTTTCCTGACCAACAGGATCAAAATTGAATTTTTTGTCTGTAAGTTATATCAGTCTATGTTTCAAAATATTTTCAGGGTGTTGACCAAATAAAGAATGAGATGGAGGATCCTAGTGAACCTCTCATAGACTCTACTCATGGACATGGAAGGTGAGATAGGTCAAAGGTCATAGTTTAAAAGGTCAAAGTTCACAGTAGGTCAAAGGTCTCAGGCCATTTTCACCATAGATTATAATAAGGTACAATACAGAATGAGAGGGCACAGGAAGTATGTTATTTTCGATCCTGTCAAATTTGAATGAGATTTAAGCCATTTTTAATGGATTCCTCATTGTTCAATTTCAGTCAGAGCCTCATCAACCTCCTGCTCACAGGAAAGGCCGTGTCACATGTCTTTGATAATGAAAAGGATGTCGCTGGAATGAGTAAGTTTTCTGGGAATGCGTAAATCATCTGGGTTCATTCTTGCATGGAATTTACTGTATGATTTTACTAAAAGAGTAAAATAATTTATCTAACATTTGGCTTCAAGATACTGCAATTAGAGTTAACCGACAACATAATTCTTTATATCTTCCAGAACTCCATGGTGTCTCTCGCCAATCCCAGATTGGGTTTCTTACACAGTTAGAGCACCTGAGGTATTGTGAGGTAAGGTCTGCCTTTCTGTCTGTCTGTCTACTATATGATATTGTGCCTTTTATTCATTTTTTGTGTCTTCTGTGTCTGATACATTTCCATGAGATGTTAATTAGTATATTTGATGATGCTTTAGTTCTAAGGACTTATGTTCCATGAGAAGTTAACTATGTCAACTTTGTTTTCACTTAACTCCGTAGCAGTTTTACAGCAGTTTTACAGCACAGACATGATTTTTACATAAATAAATTTTAAGTGCAAACCTGCAATTTTTCATGTAGGTTTTCCGATTTAAACAGCCCCAGATCCCCAGTGCTAAGACCACCAAGCCATTTCTTCCTACTTTTTTCTTACAATCCAAAATCATGTCCAAGTTTTTTTTCTAAAAGTGTTTAATCATTATTATTATCAGGTGGGTTTTAATCTAAAAAGCCCCTCCCTCCCAGTGTGGGTACTGGGTAGTGAGACCCACTTGACAGTACTGTTCACTCAGGACCTCAGTCTTGTGGCTCCAGAGTCACCAGAAGACACCGCCAGGAGGATATTTAAAAGTTTTGATCCAGAAGGTTTGTAACTATAATGTGTTTCTCAGAGGAAGAGCTAATTAGAAAACTAATACTGTGGAAAGTTTCCAATTTGAATGTAAAATGATCTGGTTGGGTTTTGTTCACTGAAGGGGCCGAATAGGTCCATCTCCGTTTATGCAACTTTGAAAGGCTAAACAAGCCTTGGTCTTGTCTGCATTGAATATTCCACAAATGGATTTTGGACTCTCTTGGAACTTTATATCTCTTATCTAAAACTACTGTGGATATAAAGGGTGTCAGTATTTGTGTATTTTCAGGGAATGGCTTCATCTCGTCATGTCTCCTAGGAGATGTACTACACTCACTGAGTCTTGTATCGGATCAAGGATAGTAAGCAACCTCCATGTTCATTGTAAAAAGTTTCTAGATATGGTGTTGGTACAGCCAGGAATTTTGGGAGGGGGGGGGGGGCAGGACAAGATATTTTCTTCACATAAAGCTGTAATGATCTAAGGCCAGTTTTGGGCTTTTTTTTTTTCATTAAAAGACTAATTGATTTTGTAAAAAAAAAAAAGGGTAGACACTTGACAGATATTGTACAAAATGTTCAAAACCAGATAGTTTGGGGTAGGAGGGGTTTTATTTTAAAGTACTCTTTGGTCTCATTATTGAAGACTTGTGATATGATCTTATCATTTCTAGTGTAGACATTATTATTATTATTATTATTATTATTATTATTATTATTATTATTTCCAGTGTGGACATTATGAAGGGCAAGCTGGACTCTGAGGGACTGGGTATTATTGTCCTCAGTGCTTTTATGGAAGAGTTCTATCCAGGAAACAGCCAGCAACAAGGACCAAAGACGTTTACTGTATTTCATTATAATGGGCTGAAGAGGTCTAATTCCACTCACAAGGTAAGTGTCAGTGTCAGATACTGTCTGAAAACTACAAAAGATTAAGACACTTCAGTACACAACCTGCATACACCTATCTACAGATATTCACACACGGTTGCACTAACACAAGCACTCACACAAAAGCTAATTGCACACTCAAAAAAAAATAAACACAAATTCACGCAGGCATACACACAGACAGTAATTTTAAAAGATATATATTTTTTTCCCAAAAATTTGTGTTTCAACTAGTATTTCAGTTTGCATCATCTTTGATGTGAATTTGTAACTAAGAACATTCCCATCACTACACACTCCATGTATATTACTCTCACCTTATTTTCAGGTTCAGTATAAAAAAGGCACGGCCACCATACTGGAACATGGCATCCCCCTGGTGACTGAATACACAGACGTGACCACATGCCTCCAGACAAAATGGCCGACAATCAGCATTGAATGGTCAGGCAATGATGTTCCATCATTAAACTGACAGTTTACTCAAAACTCATTATTCAGAAAAAAAATTTTATAATGTTATATTGATGTGTTCTTGCTTGAAATTTGTGATATACTTTATCACAATTGAATTAGGAGAAGATAAATTGTGCAACTTCTGAGCAACAGTGGACTCCTTGAAAAGCAGCGAAGTTGTGGAAAGTCACAGATTAGCGCGGTCTTGATTCGGGGGAAATTCTGGACAGTTGTCCACTTTAACACAGTGCCAATATGGAGTATGCAAACTCACAGAATGATACAGCCACTGTGGTAATTTTAGATATCGTATTGCTTAGCCACATATAATAATGCAGCACAGTGGAAGTGAGCTGAATCTCCATGGTAACTTGTTAAACGGCTGGATTGCCATGGTAACTTGTGTATCGGCTCAATCGCCATGGTAACTTGTAAGACTTGTCAGGGAGACACAGTTAAGTATTGGCATTGTTGAAAAGTAAATGGGAATTTTTTTGGGGGCATTTTTGATGTACAGTTTGATAGGGAAGAGGGAGAATGAAGTGTGACTTCTTACACATACAACTTGTTGTCACACCATAGGGGAAATCACTGCATAAGATCTTGAATGGGAGAGTCAGACATGAAAAATGAGTTCATATTTATTTTGTTGTTAGCTTCAAGATAGAGCTTGATGCACCGTATTTGAATTGGATTTTCAAAGAATGTTCCTTACACTGTCATTTTACCAGTAACTTTATTAAGTTCAAGATGACAGCAGTACGCAGTAATTATAGTGACTTGACGACCTGAATAATGAATGCACTGCACAGTGGCAAGCCATCCCATTCAAGACATAATTAGTCATAATATACATTTTTTTATGGTGAGATGGGAGATCCAAATTAACTTGGTATTGTTGGATTGTCCAAGAAGTGTTTTAAAAGGAATGTGAACACCTCGCATATTAAAGTATTTACCAATTAGTCAACTGTCTTGCCTGTGAACATTTTCAGTTTTTGATTATTTTATATGCTTAGAAACCAAATCAGTAGTCAGGATGTGTTGTCATGACATATTTGTCTGCTCTACAAGGATTTCTTCTTAGCAGACTTTAGAGTAGGTATAATCAGTATGATTTCATAATAGTAGATTGTATGGTTAAAGGTTTACATGTCTGTAGGGATTTTTATGGTGAATTCAGAATAATTAGATTGTAGGGACCATGCTTTACATTTGGTCTGAGATTCTGTTGTTTCTTTAAAATTCAGGTTAAAAAAAAATGTAAAAAGTTCTGTTAATAGTCATTTTCCCCATGGTCAAGGTGCTACTGTCTGAGTGTTTCAGGTTTTATGAAATATATTACAAATTTTAATCATGTATTATTTATTGTACTATGTAAATGCATGTCTGCTTTTATAGATTCTTTATCACAAAATAACATTAAATACAAGAAATATGTCAGTTTCAATCTAACATCTTCACTCTACTCTGACATCAGATCAATATTGACAAATCCCTTGACAGTATATTAAGTCATTAGTTTTTGATAAAAAATAATTCTTTACTATTTTACAGATAGATACACACGTGTGGTTCACCCAAATGTGCTGGTCATTGGTTCATGCCTGTTTTTTAGGTAACAATGACATTATCTGTTAAAAGGTGAATCAGAAGTTAACTGGGCATGCAAGTCACCAGAAATAGACATGAACTCATGACCAGCAGAAATGAGTTAGCCGCACATGCTGAATATCTGTGGAAAGGTGAGTTAATTCTTTTTACAAAACTGGTAAACATATTTCGGCATATTTGTCTGCTTTTCATCATTTGGTACTAATCTTGACGTAAGTTGTTCTAAGTTGACCAGGGTAGACTGTTGGTTTTGACACCTTGGGTTTTAGAGTATTGGCTATTGACTTTCTTTTGAAGTTTATTTAAGGAATTATCCTTTGAAAGTGAGGCTGTGTTCTTTCCACTGCTTTTCAGTCATCAATAAGTGAATGTAGACCTAGCCAGTTTTCATTGAAATGGCTGTAGAAATAACAGTAAGTTTCATGTAAAGCTTGGTAAAGTCGGGCATGGGTGCTAAAATGTAGTGTAGTAATTAGCATGTAAGTTTTTAATGTAAATATGAAATTAGCATGTTTAGGATTTTTATTTGGTCATTCCAAGATCACAATGCACAATATTTAAGCCAATTCAGCAGATGGCCCAGTTGTAACACAGTAGAGACAAGGTCCTCTGAGGTCACTTAAAAATGAGATGTAAACATTAATTTGGTGATTTGATCAACAGTTTCTGAGCCTCAGGTGCTGAAGTGACTGGTTAAAGAAATTTGGTCGTCCAGTGATGTCACATGGGCCAGTACCAGTTTAGGTCTGACTGGAAAGGCAGTGTTTGAAATAATGGGACCTAGTTTTATAGGTTCAGTTTCTTTTCTTCTGATTAGAACATCAACAGCTGCTTCTTGCGCAAAATTGTCCCATAGGTAAACTGATTTATAGTTGTTTTATGTACACCAGCTGCATATTTACCCAAAATTTAACCAGGGTTAAAAATATAGTGCCCAACTTAAGTTTTGTTGATTCTTAAAGGGCAGTTTTGCAAAAGTTGAGAACAGGGCATAATTTTATTGAAAATCTCAATAAGTTGTATAAAATATACCCACGTATAATAATAGAGGGGTTGAACTTATAAGAATAGATATATATCGCACATAACTATATTATTATCTGTTGGTGATTTTGTGATTGATCATCGTAGTGTACGAGTGCATAATGTGGCTAGTAATCTTTTAAATAAATGTTGAATGAATTTGATCAAGTTGTGAGAAATGTATCTGACTGCTGTTTAAGCTATGTGTTCATTTAATGGGGTGCTGGTTATCCCCCTTCTTTGCGTCTTGTTAGTGATGTTCTCCTGTCTGTCAGTTTTTTTTTTTACTTTCATCACAAGATACCAAGTTTGTTACGCCTTAAGAAATGACAGAAAGTAAGCTATAAATGTATCTCTTTAAGAAAAAAAAGTAACCAGGACTGTGCTGAAGAAATCTTATGTAAGGAATTGTTAAACTTGATATTGACCATAGCTCTTTGTAACTGTTAAATTTTGTTTAAATTCTTTCGTTACTCTCTGTATGTAGAATGTATATCATCATATGAAATAAAAATACCCAGAAATTTGAGTTTGTTTTCCAGAAGTGTTATTTTTTAGGAAAAAATATTTACAGGGTTTTCAGGAGAGAAAAAACCCTGTGATTGTGTCAAGTGCTTGGTAATATTTGGCAAAATCCATTGGTTAAGTCAAAACTTTAATTTTTACATGTTTTATTGCATAAAACAAAATAAATAATACATTTTCATTGATACATGACTAAAGGCCTTGTTGTATGAGGAATTTTTCTCAATCTGACAAAAGAAACACAATCTGTACGTTAAAGGCCAGCACATCTTGTTGCCAATGTTCTCTTTAAACCGATCTATTACCTGACCATGAATCTGTCTTTCTGGGAGATATATAACATATATAATATATTATATAAACGTAGTTTCTGTCCATATCATTTCAACGGCAATCCAATCATATATTTCTGGCTATTCCTTATGAGCAATTGGTTATATTGACTCAGTAAAGCGTTCAGGGCCCCGTGCCTCGAAAGCATCGGGTATTGCTAATAGCGATATCACATAGAGGCTACAATGTATTACATCGGGCGAGTATGGGCGAGTTATGGAATCGAGACGCTTGCGCCCGCTCGCAACGAGTGAAGCTTTCAAGATACGGGGCCCTGAACATTACATTTCTTCATTATATGTATGAACAAACCTCCATCATTGACCACTCATACGGACCCACTAGAGTCAGTGTTACCAATTCCCCCAACAAGTTCCATGGCACTTTGAATCATCGACAACAAAGAAAGTGGACTGACATACTGAACAAGTCTCATCTACGTGACTTATCTGATGATATTATGCATTGAGGCAAACAGTAATTGGCGAATTGGGGTTTCCAAGGCAATTAACAATATCTTTCACAGATGTTTGCTCACATACAAAGCAAGTAACTATTTCCTGGAATTATTATCATTATAATAATAACAACAAAGCAGCATAAAACACCCACATCGTTGTTCGAAGGCCATTTCAATTTACCAGTTTGATATGACTACCACTTACATGAGTAAGTTAGTCTGGTATAAAATTAGGAGCAAATACAAAATTAATCATATTTTCTGAAATAACCATAGTCAGTTATGTTATATCATGTATAACAAGTTTGTGAACCAACTCCATGTTATATAACACATTATGCAGCTCCAAAACACCATGTGCAACTAAACCAACACATATTTCATACGGATAAGGAGTGAGATGCTGATAGGTATCAAACTTTTTGTCTGAGCCCCACTGCTGCTCTCTGTCCTACATTTTGAAGGTCAAAGGTTTATCTTTCAATTAATTGTGTCATAATAATCCCACCTTTGTAAAAGGTGAATTAAAAACATCATGCTTAAAAAGAAATCCATCCCAAACACGTTTTGGCAAGTTTGTCATCCAGGAGATTTGACTTTGAGCAGGTTTGACCACTTCGGTGGAATTTTTCTTGGTATTAAACTCTTGGCAACATTATTGTTACTGCACACCTGGATTGCTCTAGCATTATGATAAGATTTTCCAAAGCTTTATCTTTAAAAGATATCAAAATTTTATCTAATGGCCTTTCCTGAGACATATTGAAACTCACCAGGCCACACACAAAATATAGCACCATATTAAGCTCTGAACTTCACATCAAGTTTTTGTGTAACCTCTTTGAAAAAGCTTCACCAATTCCTGTAATCTCCATATAAAAAGGTCATCCATTCACTCAACCTCTGTGCCAAAGGTCATCCATTCATGTGACCTCTGAGTCAAAGGTCATTCATGTGACCTCTGTGTCAAAGGTCATCCATTCATGTGACCTCTGTGTCAAAGGTCATCCATTCGTGTGACCTCTGTGGCAAAGGCCATCAATCACTGTCACTTTCAGAATCACTGAGCTGTAGATCCTCACTGAGTGTACTGTGTACATAACCCTTGGAGCCAGACTGAGACTGGTACTGCTGGGAATGAGGCTGTGAGTGGGAGGGGGGAATGTGATGGCTGCCACCATTGGCTAAAAAAAGAAAGCACACATAGCCATGTAAAATGCCACTAATATTTATAGAAAGAAAATAAATTAATTGAATAAAGTTATTTTGGAGTCATCATACATCATGCAAAATCTTGTTATCAACAAACTTTAAAACTACTGGTATTAAATTAAAGTAGCTTTCAAAGTTATCTTGTCTTGTGATGTTTGGAACTTCAGTAAATATGTGCATTGGTTACTCATAATGTGTGCCTTTAACATGCTGTTTTAAACACATCTAAAACAGTCATGATTTAGCAATGCAAGAAAAAAAGACAGAAATGGATCAATAAACATATGAATTTGGGTCTGGGGACTGGAAAACTACCAAGAAAACCTGGACTTTTGTTTAAATGGAAAAAAAATATGCCTGTAAAAGTAACATGGCTGTGAAAATAACATACCTTGATAAGACGTTGTTTTTGTAGGTTTGCTCTCAGTGTCTGAGTCATCAGAGCTGCTGCTACTGCTGCTGTCCATGTCACTCATGACGCCTGGACTGGCCACACTGTGAGACTCTGGAAATCAAGATGACCTCCATATTATATAATATGTGTTTTCACTGTAGATAGGCCAGACCTACTCAGCATGACCCATCTCTACTGGTCACTTGTTTCAGTTTATAAGCAGCTTAATAGGGGCAGCAACTGGGATTCCTCTGGTCTGCAATGTTAAACTGGGCCCATACCAGAAGTCGGTAAAATAGAAGGTGGGCCATTTTCATGAACAATTATTTATTTCAGGTATCACACTATTGTTTGTAACGTGTGAAAAAGACAGATCTGTACCTTTGTCAGCCATCCTACCTTTTCCTACATTTTCCTGGGAGTTTCCCAAACTATGGCTACTACTGCTATGGCTACTGTGTTTCTTCTTGGATGGAGAGGTCTTGAGCTTGAGCTGTTCATTGGGGGTGACGGGACGCCCTCCTGTCTGGGCTCTGCTGCTGCCCTCTGTCCTATACAGGTCAAAGGTTAAAGGTTAATCTCACAATTACTTGATGTATTATGGTAATGGAACATTTGTAACTTGACAGAAGATGATGACTTAAATGCCTTGCTCTTCACAAACAGTTTGTCACAAAAACTAACCTTTTTTTCCTGTTGATCCTAGTACAAGGGTGGACTAAAAATGATTGAGGGTTTTCAACCAAAAATTCCCTTTGAATACTTGGGTACATAATAATTATACATAAAAAAAACTTATTGAAAACTTGATCATCTTCTAAGATTATCTGACATATTTGACGATGTAGAAGACATCTTGTTGAGATGGCAGTCAACATCAAACCCTTTTGTATAATCCTGCCAACACCCCCCTGAATAATCACCTTGTCTTCTTCAGTTGCACTGTACTGGACAGTTTTTCCAGAGTGATCTCCCCTGTCCTGTGGTCTATGATTAAGACACATTCCTTCTGACAGGGCCTCTTATTGCCTTTATACACTGTCTGGGTGGTGCCTGCTCCCTGGGAAAACAATGGATGTGTGGAAGTTGTTTTAGGGATGATGGGATAAATATCAATTATGTTGCCTTACTAATTTATTTAAATAGCAGAGATATTAATTATAACAACCACAATAACTGAATTTATAAACATACTGAAAACTGAAAAAATTGTCAGTTTGAGGGGCATACTGCATAAATACCAAAAATAATGCATAAAATTTGGTATACAAGTAAAGACCTTAAAATTTCTTCAAAAATTCCTACTTATAAAACTTTCCTTTAACCAGACACCATGAGACATACAAGTCTGAAATATTTTTTAGGTTTTAAAATTTTTTAAAAATATCTTGAGATAAAAACTTTATCCATGACAAACCTCCACATGTGGCACCGTCACGATGACCTGTTTGTTTGGCTGGACGTCAACTGAGGCCACCTTGGAGGTGTCCACTGAGGCAGGCTTGAAATCATCTGAAAGGACATCATGAAAGTTGTATAGTCATTGATGAAAGTTAATAACATGAAGTCATCTGAAACATGAATTCAATATTCAGCGCCTTATAATTTGTTCCAATCATTCACCAGTTTCTTTTGATATTCAGAAATATTTATTTTGCTACTATATTATTCTGTTTGTAAAAGTTAAATGGACCTAATTAAATATTATATAGATCTAATGAACTTTTCAAAGGTTGCTTTCAGTTGTTGATTGATTAACTTCAATTACATATAAAATCGGTCTCAGTTAAACTTACAATGGTAATTAATTGACTTCAATATCTCTTACTATACGAATCACTTGTGGTTTATTTATGTAGTCAATATATATTATTTTTACTAAATCGGTTACTATATCGTCAGAATAATTTGATCGGTCAAACCGATGGATGGATTTCCCAGCTGCTTTAGGAGACTTCAGTCTCTGTGGCAGAGAAAAAAAAAACGTAGGGATTAGATAGTAAGTTAGTCTGGGAGTTAGTGATATGCTGACCCCTAGAAAGCGAAACACGACATGATGTCCTGTACAGTACAGACTCAGAAAAACCTCATGTTACTTACACCGGATGGAGTGAAATGCCGACCTAGAATGGTGATCGAAGCTCTTCCCGAGTTTTAACTCGTGAGGCTCGCTGTCCATTGGAATTATCTTCTCTTCTGGCATCTTCGCTTAGCTACAGACCCATTCCTGAAACTACGATTTCGGTTCTAAACTGTAAACGGAACCATATGGTTCTTTGCCATTCCGGAAGTTGACGAATTGGGTTCAACTAAAACACGGTTAAATGTATAGTTGTAAATATGTACTTTAAAACATCTATAAGGAATATATATAATTTTCTCCTTCCATTCAGTAGTTTGATTTCTTAAACGATTTTAATGCACATTAACATGTATAATTGTAAAAGTGCGCGTACCAGTGAAAACAATAGCGGAAGTGATCTTAAAACTAGAGGTGCGCGCACATGTTGGTGGGAAGAGCTGAAGTCAGAGATAAGGATGTTTCAGGAGCCACAGACGTTCCAGCACCTCACAGATCCAAATTATGGGCGTCCTGGGAAGGTGCAACACTTGGTATGATATTTTATCAAAGCTGTTCCTTATCTTATGTGCACTTTTGAGCTCTAGCTAAAAGCTGAACATGGTTTGTTGTCGTGTTGATGTTTGTTTATGTACATCCGGTGATTTTCTGTCTCTTACAAATACGCTTACTTTAACGAGATAAGAATCCTCTGAACACATTTATTTGAAGTGGTTGTGTGGAACAATAATTATAATGTGGAATATTCCCCCAATAAGATGCTCTGTTGCCATCCTCTTGAAGTAATTGTCTTCTGCAATTTGGATTTTTTTTTCGAAATATTTTTTTTTTTAATTGGTGAAAATTTGTAATTGAACTTGTAGTTGGAGTGTATTGATAATACGAAATATGCAGTAAAGAAGGAGGAAGAAAAAGTGGATAGGAGGAAGTTGGTGTATTGCTTTTTGGGTCATGTTTTCCACCTGTCTTTAATTTGTTTGGCAAATTTGTTTTAGTTGAATTGAAAATAAAAATTCACATGGAAAGAATGCAACTGCAAGTGGTCATATTATTATTATTTTTTTTGTTGCAGCCTTTACAAGAGATCACAAGACCCCACATTGACTCCTTCAACTACATGTTGAGAGAGGGACTGGTGAAGGCAGTACAGGCAAGTGACAGCTAGGCACGCACACACAACCACACATTGTTCACTATGATTAACTTTTAATCATGCAAATACAACAGCTATGGTAAAAAATAAACTGTTTGGTCAAGTTGAGTGTTATCACACAGGGCTTGACATTAAGGGTGGCCCACTGGCCCTGGGCCACTGAAAACCAACCTAGGGCCATTGAATTGATGGGGTCACTGGCCCAAAGAGCACCAAGTAAAATGTCATGTGTCAAATCATCCTTGCAATGTGTACAGATATCTCGGGCCAATATCGAAAAAAGTTAGTGTCAAGCCCTGTCACAGACAGGTAAATATATTGTACAAGGCAGTGAATAATATTGTGAGAAATGTTGACACCTGTTGTACACCTTAATACAGTCACATCACTGATGTAAGAAATTCAGATTTTGTCTTTTTGTTTGTTTACTGGCTGAACTCTTTATTTTTCTGCCTGGCAAATAGTTTGCAGTTCTGTGAAGTTGAATATTGATATGATTGTAATTACATTTTTCAGGATATTCCTCCCATAGAGTTTGCATTACCAAATGGTCAGAAAATATCTCTGAATATTGTGGTATGTATTATTCCTTCCATATTGCTCAAACAAAGACATGTTATTTGCAACCTGCCAGTAATTAAGGTGTGGAGATTGCTGTTTTATATTAATTTATATCAATTTATTATTTTGTTTAATGTCAAATCCACAAAACAGTTAAATGTGTGACACTACAAGGCATTTCTAAATGTTTGCTAGCATTTTAAAAGATCGGGAATATTGAAATTTTGAAAATAAAGGGATTTTGATATACAGATTATATCATTATTTAATATTACCTTTTATTTGGCACATCCAGGGAACTTTAAATGGTTGGAAGGGTATTTTTATGTTTTAGGAAGCCCATGTGTCCTCCCCTAAGATAGATCAAGGGAACCTGTATGCACGGACCCTCGATGTCTTTCCGTCAGAGGTATGCCCTGCCATGATAGAAGATTATAATATGATTTTTGTTTATGATATTTATTTATTTTAAAAGGAAATTTTTTGAAAATGAAATGTTTAGATGTTAGAAAAGGAAACAAATTTTGTTGTGTAGATATTATGTAATAAATAAGTTGTGATTTACTGAATAATGAAATCAAAAAATATCTAAAGGTAACAAATGATAAACAGTTAATTTATTAAAAAATATTATAATATTATATATTAATGTTTGACCAATTAATTGAATGTAAACATTCAAGTTACAAAGTGCACAAATATTGAAAACAAAAATGACAATTTTTTTTATTTTATTATTTTTTTTGGGGGGGTGGGGGTTAATTGTGTGAAACAGGGAATAAAGATGAAGCAACAAATGTATGTTATTAATCCGTCATTGTTTCTCATTATTCTGTTATTTTTATATAGGGAAAGATATAAAATGAGGAAAATGTTTATCTTGGTAGAGGATGTCTTATGTTGAACTTTGATTTAACTTATGATTTACTGTTCAGTGCCGTGAGCGAGGGATCACCTATAGGGGGCGCCTCCAGGCCACTGTGCGCTGGTTTGTGGATGGGCGACCTTCAGGAACGGATGAGAGAATCCTGGGAGAAATTCCTATCATGGTCAAAGTATGTTGTACAGGGGGAAATAAGAAGAAAAATTATTAAATACAATCAAAATAAGATTAAATTGGTAACTTACTATAATTTTTTTTGTTGTGTCCAATATCCAATAAAAAAAGCGTAAGCCTAAAGTAAAATTGGTATCTAAATATAAGATGTTTCATGTATTTGAAGATTAGAAAGTGGCATGAATCATAATAAGATTGATATTTTGGATACAGTAAGGCATATATTTATGTATAAAATTAAGAAAAATACATGAATATTTTATTTCAGACTATGTTATTTACTGATTCAGAAATATTATTTACTAATTTTATTTTTTAAAAACTTACTGTGTGATGCTTTTATATCATGACAAAAACACTTTTTTAAATGACAAATCTGATATGAGGTGTATTTTTTAGAGTGCAATCTGATGGGAACATTCTCTTTACTTTTCATAGTCGGAGGCGTGCAACCTTTCCAAGCTGTCCCCATCAGATCTTGTACGACGAGGAGAGGAAGCTGAGGTTAGAAAATAATTAATTTACTGGGTTATTTCACAAAAAGGAACATTTGGGTCATTACAGTGACACTCATTTTTTTTAAATATTTGCACAACTGTTTTATAACACATCTTATGACAGTACTGTTAATTTTTACCAGTAGCTATAATATTAGAGTGTACTGTAATAGTATAGAGAAAAATGGTGCTAGTCAAAATTGTGCAAGTTATTCACATATTTTATGCTTGACTGATGTGACTGAATTGTGCACTTTGTAGTGGAAGGACCCTAATTGATTTACATAATTGCTAAAATTTACACTAAATCAAATTTAAAAATTGAAATCAGTCTTAATAAAGCAAAAAGAAGTTTATATGTCCAAATAAATAAATGAATATTAAATAATTCCTTCTTAATGTACTCATGCTAAATTAAATGCAACCTTTAAAACATGACAATGTTTTGCCAAAAAGTCTGTTATTTAATTTGTTTTATAGTTTATTCAATTTTCTTCATATTTCAATCACTGTTATATTTCAATTAATTTTGTGTTATTTAATTTGTTTTATAGTTTATGCAATTTTCTTCATATTTCAATCACTGTTATATTTCAATTAATTTTGTGTTATTAATGTTATTTAAAGCTCTTATTTTAATCATTATTAGCTGAATCATAATGACTGTTATTATTTAGGAAATGGGCGGCTACTTCATCATCAATGGTATTGAAAGAGTGATCAGAATGTTGATCATGCCAAGGAGAAATTTCGTAAGTACAATGAAATTGTTGATAAATGAGGTGATTTATGTTTGACATTGGTAATAATTATAATCTTAAATTGAGTTATGTCTGTTTGTATCTATTAGCTTTTGTGATTTTTGACTATTTGAAATATTGTACTTTTAAATATCAGTAAGTTAGTATTGTCTATTATGTAGTATTATGTAATATTAAGAATTATTAATAGAAGGCTTATAATTATTGTACTTTTAAATATCAGTAAGTAAGTATTGTCTATTATGTAGTATTATGTAATATTAAGAATTATTAATAGAAGGCTTATAATTATTTATAAGATGAATTTAAATTTTGTAAATGAAATAGAACATGCATTTTGTTAATAAATTTTGTGAATTAAGTTATTATAAGTATTTATTATTAAAAAATGAGAAGAACATCTCTAATCATGGAATGGAAACTTTTGAATTTGATTTAGATGTAAGATTATTTTCATAAGGATTTTGTAAGGATTTTGAAGAAATTGTCATAAAACATGACATAGAGTGTTTTTATTCGAGTTCTGATTACTTTTTTTCGTGTTTCAGCCCAATTGCATGAATCGCCCATCTTGGAAATCTCGTGGAAATCAATATACAGAATTTGGGGTCACCATGAGGTGTGTCAAGGGGGACCAGACGGGGGCAGTAAGTGAAAGAAATAATTGTCTTAGGGGGTTCTAAAGAGATGGCAAAATGACATATGGTTATGACGTATTGTAAGAAGTAAAATGTTCGTTTATTAAATATCTGATATTGTTATGGAAAAATGACCTCCTTAAAATCAGAACAAAAATGAAATTAAACCCTAGGCTGCTTCTTTTTTTCTATGATTATTTGTTTTAGTGGGAGAACATATCTTTTTTTTATTCCTTTCCAAAATACCACATTCTTATATTTCAGAATATAGTGCTACATTACCTGAACAACGGCACTGCCAACCTTTCCTTCAGTTTCCGCAAGGAGCAGTTCTTTGTACCTATCATGCTTATACTAAAGGTAAGTGCTGCAACTACATTTTTGAACTGATGGGCGACTTATGTTTTATGAGGTGTGCTCCTTATTGAAAGCAAATATTATACAATGATTGACTTGTGCTGAGGTGAACACATTGTTGCGCAGACCCCAAAAAGGTGATGTGGACCAAGGCGCAGCATGTTAACTGAAAATAAAAGTCAATCATAATGATTGTTTTATTATTATTATGATATAACTTAATACCTGGATGTCATTGTCCTCCAAGATAACTTCAACAGTTGCAACATCACTGTTAGCCAAATTGTACTTGTCTGACATCATACAATAAGTTGTATTTTTGATATAAAATGTTTACACTGTCAAGGATTATGACTTATATATCCAAGTCACCAATTTTTGGTACATTACTTTCAGGCACTTGTAGATGTGACAGATCAGTATATATACAGTGAACTTATCAAAGGAAAAGAAGAAGACTCCTTCTATAAAGGGTAAGAAGATAATTATCAAATCCAAACAGTGAGACTATATTTAAGCTGATTTTAATTAAAATAACTTAAAGTGTGGGTTGAGAAAAAATATGATTTGTGTGCCTTTTTTCTATTTCAGTTGTATTGCCAACATGCTTCGCCAGGCACAGAGCGAGGGTTTATCTGAGAAGGCTACCATATTGAAATATATTGGAGAGCGTTTTCGCATCAAATTACAGCTGCCTGACTGGGTGACAGACACTGCTGTGGCCACATTCCTTCTGGAGTGAGTTCTTTAAAATTCTGTTATTTTTTTTTAGTACTGGAGAAATTTGTAATGAAATTTCTTTCGTTAGACAGTTGGATCCTTTTAGAATTTGATTTCATTAATAGTTTTGATGGAAGTAGTAAAAAATGAATATTTTTAATTACCTTTCTTTAATGAACTTTGAATAAGCACTCATTTGGTCCGATTTTATTATAATAATTATAATAATTCTAAATTATGTCCTTAACAACCGATCAGATAGCAAGGGGTCATGTCTTTATATTGAAATTTATTGATTGAAAAATCCAATTCCTCTTGGTTAAAGAAAACAAAACAATACAGTAATTAAACCCCAATTCAATGCATATTTCCAAATTTATTTGAAATACCTTTATCATATTTATTCATCATGTTTTTCCCTTTCAGTCAATGTGTTTGTATTCACCTCTCAAACAATATGGAAAAATTTAACATTCTAGTGTGAGTATTACCTGATGACAATTAAAAAATGTAATAAAAAGCAGATTGTAGTTATGGAATACAGACTGACTGGAATGAATAGTTGTAACAGTGAAAGCTTTATTTTCTCCCTTAATTTTTTTTAACCAACTGTAATGAATTTGTAATGAAATATTAGACTTTTATCATCTTGAGTTAAAAGTTGTGGTATGTTGTTGTTTAAAAATGCATTTAAGGTATATGACCAGTAATTAGTTCTCCTTTGCCAAAGGGGATTAATTATTATCACTGTTTTTGTTACAGTTGTTTTTTAGATATTTGACAAGAAAGTTGTTTGCTTTTGTCAAAAGGTAATTATAATTGTTAATACAATCATTAATGTATTTCAGATACATGACAAGAAAGTTGTTTGCTTTTGCCAAAGGAGAGTGTGCCGCTGAGAGTGCAGACAACCCCATGTTTCAGGAAGTGTTGCTAGGTGGCCATCTTTTTTTAATGGTGCTAAAGGTAAATTTGAAATTGTGTGTTTTTAACTAAACAGATGACAGCGAATTGAAAATACCTCTAAAATTGTTTGCATAAAATTTTTGCACAATTAAATGTTGTAAGTTTGGGATTTTTTTTTGTTTAAATTTAAAGAACTCTAGATAAATCTCGTAAATGTATTTCACAATTTCTTTTTAAAGAATATTTTGAGAAATAATGCCTTTCAAAATTTAGCCTTGCCCATGTACTATGTATGAAATTGGAAAAGATAAGCATGATTGTTGTAATAGAAAATTTAAAAAATGAAATATTTTTAAAATTGAAACTGTACTGTAGATTTAATGGAAATTTCTTGTAACAATGCAGGAAAAAATAGAAGGATGGCTGGGATCACTGCGGTACTGCATAGAGCGAAAAGCAAAAGCCAAGGGGCAAGAATACACTTTGAACCAAGGTAACTTTGATTTTACCCATGATTAAGACAGGGATGTTATTCTGCTTACCATTCCCTTACTTTGGAAGATGTGTTCTTTATAAATGCTTTGCGGCCTCTGCCCTGCATTGAAATGCTGTGCTTTGTTTAGATTTAAATATTAGATAATGATTTTGAATGAGAGGACACTTAGAATTGATAAGTATGATTATAAAAGCTGTTTCTGTCAATTTATTAAATTCATTTGTTTCTGATAATGCTTGTCTTACCAGAATGTAAAATGTACTATTGCTAAGTAACCACATATTCCAGCCTTGTAATTATTATAATATGATTGCTAATATTTGGTATAGATTATATATATACATAATATCATATTTAATTCAATAATTTTTCATATTTACTTAATATGAGGTTCTTTTTTCTAGCTTCATTCAATGATGCCTGTAGACATGCAAGTGAGGTGACCCGCCCTATGGAGTACCTGCTGGCCACGGGGAACCTGGTCTCTAAGACAGGACTGGGGCTGATGCAGGTAAGGGACAACCCCCTCTCCCCCCTTTTCTTTACCCCCTTGTCCACTGCTCTTGTCCTTTCACTCTGGTAAGTAATAGGGGGGACTTGAGTGGCCAAGACTAGGGAATAAGGCAGGTAATGAACAGACCCCCCCCCCCCTCTTTTGACCACCCCTTTTCTTGCTATTTGGCTTTGCCTTCCTTCCAATCTGGGATGAGCTTCAAAAGAGAACCAAAGTTGAATGTTGACACTGATGCAGCAGTACAATTTTGAATGAGATTATGCAAGATGATAGATCTCCTTTGTGTACAGGATTGTGGATATATTCCAGAAAGGTGAGGGGGGGGGGGTTGAGGAAGATTTTGTGAAGTTATGAGATATTAATATCAAGATAAAACTTCAAAGACAAAAACAGCATTTAATAATAAAATTATATTATGTTTTATTTTGTTACACACAAATGTTACCCAATGCTGATGCATTACAAATCATTAGGTATTTATTTTTCAAAGAACTTCTCCACTTTGTTACTTCTTTAAATGATGCACACTTGTAATGAGTCGTAATCATTTATAAATTGAATGAATAACATAAGATACTACATAAAATGAACATGTGGCAGATATTTGTTAAACATCTGAACCATGTTTAACTAATCCCTATTTAATTAAGTGTGTTTTTTTCACTAACCAATTACCACATTTCATAAATAAATATCATTTTCATTGGAACTGGTCCTAACAGCATCACCAATATGTTCATGATTTTTGATTAGTAATATCACAAATATTTACTTTGATTATCATGATTGTAATTGATTTGTGACTCAATATATTGCTTATATCATAGGCAATTTAACATCTGTATGGTGCCTTTGTTCAGAGTGAAAACTATTCTTACAGATTTTCATGCTACCTTTGAGTCATTTGTATTTTACCTTTTTGATAGCTATGGGGCTTATTTTAAAAAATGTTTAAATTAGCTAAAATTAACTTTTAGTATATGTATGAAGATTGTGAAACAGGGCCTTAAAATTAGCTGGATTGTGACACTTATTTTACATTACCTCATATTTACTATGTAATAGTTAACTGCTAGTGATAACATTTTGAGCTTTACTTATGTTCAGAAATCTTAATGTTATATATAATATACAATATATATTATGATATATAAAATATACCACATAGTATATTTTCACATTTGTTATACTTTTTCCTCATCCTGTTCAATTTTGTGTGTGAACTGCCAGTACTGAAACTTAGACTTAGTGTTACAGTCCTGGATTCCCACTACATGAGTCTCATCCTCTGGGTTAACTACAACCTCCAGACAGAGCTCGGAGGGCTTGTCAGTATGAGGGTTCCAGACATGTAAGGTCCCTGAGGGTTGATACGGTCTGTAGTCCAGGAGAGGGAAGAGCCCTGTTGGTGCCCCTTCTTCAAAGTGCCACCTGGTGGAGTTTTCCTTACAGTTCTCCTGGTACACTTGCCAGACGTTGGGTTCTCCTGTCGTTGAGAGGCAGAGGTCATTAAGTATGAGATTTCCATTGGATAGCAAAGAGATGGTCTGCAGTTTGGAGCGATAACTGCAGTCCCGCATTGATGCCATTTTTCCTGCGTCACTTCCTGTTGCACATTCCTTAGTTGCACGGCTCTCAAGTTGACCAAAATAGGCAACGTTTTTAGGAGGGAAGGCCAGGTCAAAGGCTACGTTTTCTAGATACCATTCAAATGATCTGCAGTTCAGTGAATCATGGAATCTTACTCTGTTCAGGAGTTTCTCTTCTTCTTGCTCAGTGAATGGAATGTATCTGTTAAGCTGGTAGAATGTGTTCTTGTAATCATAGAGGAACACTTCAGCAATCCTCTGGCGATTTTTATGGATTGTGTCAACGTAGGAGGGCACCACATACTGGAGCCTGTGCCTGAAGAGGTGGCCAGCATGGGAGCATGGATGAATCTGAACACCGTTGCCACACATCCAGTAACGCAGAGCAATCTCAACATTATCACCGTCGCGATGAGCCATCCCTTCATCAAAACCACCAATCTGGAAGAAGAACTCGCGGTTGACAGCAGCAACAGCTCCCAATGCTGATTCAGTCCATAGAACATCCTCTGGGTTCCTGTGGCCTAAGCTGTCTGACAGGAATGTCTTCCACACGTAGGACAATCTCCAGTCGATTGAACCAGCACTCTGAAGAGCTGTGGAGCCTTCGTACTCAAAGGTGTCTGGGTAGATGTAGTCAATAACAGGGGTCACCATCACTGCAGCGTCTTTCTCCAGCTCAGTCAAGAGGGGCTCCAGCCATTGGTGATTGACCTCAACCTGGGCGTCCATGAACACTATGACCTCTGCAGTAGCGTGGCGAGCACCAAGCATCTTTGCCTTAGCCACGCCCATGTGAGAACTAGTCTTGATGATTTTTATGATAGGAACAGTAGATACATACTCAAACAGGGGTTGCTTGATTTCATCCAAGTCACACCAGTCATCAATCAGCAGGATCTCTTTGAGGAGCTTGGGTGGTGTACGGAGTAGCACACTGTTGATTGTCCTGAGGAGGACAGACCAAGATTCTCTGTGGAATGGGATCACTATGCTGACACTGGGGAGGTGATCAGGCTTGTAACCAAGTGCTGTCAGTTTACATGCCAAGTTACGAGTGTCAGGAACGTCACGGAACAAATCTGTGTTATCGCTGGTATTGACCTTAATCTGCATGCTGGCATCACTTAACTGAGGGATCTGGAAGAATGGTTTTGCTTTCTCTGCAAGGATTGATTTGAGCTCATTGATGTCAAATTTTGGTTCACGGGCCTCGTGTGCATGTTGTTCATGATCCGTTTCCTCACTGTCTGGCTTGCTTTCCTCATGGTGCTCCTGTTCTTCCCCAATGTGGCCAACTGGAGCCTCTCCTTGTGAATGATCCTGACCCTCAGGAGCCTCTTCTTGGTTGTGACTTTGCGCATCTGGATGATTTGACTCTTCCTGAACTTTGTCTTTGTCATCATGGGTCTGTTGCACAGGAACATCTCCAGTCTCCTGATCTTGAGCAGCATGAACTTCATCATGACCGTGGTCAGCATGAGCCTCATGGCTTAGATCCACAGGAGCCTCTTCATGACCTACTGGGGCCTCTATTTGATCAACTGGAGCCTCTTTGTGACCTACTGGGGCTTCCTCGTGACCTTGCTCAGCAGGGGCATCTTCATGACCTTGAGCAGCAGGGTCCTCTTCATGACCTTGAGCAGCAGGAGCCTCTTCATGACCTTGAGCAGCAGGAGCCTCTTCATGACCTTGAGCAGCAGGAGCCTCTTCATGACCTTGAGCAGCAGGGACCTCTTCATGACCTTGACCAGCAGGGGCCTCCTCATGAACTTGACCAGCAGGGGCCTCTTCATGAGCTTGACCAGCAGGGGCGTCTTCATGAGCTTGGCCAGCAGGGGCCTCTTCATGAGCTTGACCAACTGGGGCCTCTTCATGACCTTGAGCAGCAGGGGCCTCTTCGTGACCTTGAGCAGCAGGGGCATCTTCATGACCTTGAGCAGCAGCAGCCTCTTCATGACCTTGACCAGCAGGGGCCTCTTCATCACCTTTACCAGCAGGGGTCTCTTCGTGACCTTGAGCAGCAGGGGCTTCTTCATGACCTTGACCAGCAGGGGCCTCTTCATGACCTTGACCAGCAGGGGCCGCTTCATGACCTTGACCACCAGGGGCCTCTTCGTGACCTTGACCAGCAAGAGCCTCTTCCACAGGTCGATCACCTAGGGGGATGCTTTCCTTCTCTTGGGGTTGAACTTCCTGTGCTTCTTCAGAAGGTTGTTCTTTTGGTTCTTCCTGATGAACAAAAGCATAATCCACATATTAATTCTATGCATAAAGATATTAAAGAATCATCATTATTCATTCGTATGAATATGTACAAAGTTAGCATAGCTGTGCCAAGATAACCTTGACGATTGTAACAATTCACACATTTTATTTTTGAGTATGATATACTTAAGAAAGAGTTTAAGTCACCAAATTAAAATATCTAACCCAATTACCTTGATGTGGTCATCATCTTTCTGGTTATCAGTGTGCTGCTGAGAACTTTCAACTTCGTCGTCATGCTGCTGTTTTATGTCCCTCTCCACCACGTGTTTGACATCCTGATGGTCAGCATCAGGAGGGGGTTCATCCAAGGGGACCTCTTCTTTGGGGTCTGTGTCCTTTGGAGGTTCTTCTTTGGGGGCTGTATCCTTCGGGGGCTCATCTTTAGGGGCTGTTTCCTTAGGGGGCTCATCTTTCTGGGCTGTTTCCTTAGGGGGCTCGTCTTTGGAAACTGTTTCCTTGGGGGCTTCATTCTGAGGTGCTGTAGCCTGAGGGGTTGGGTCTTTGGAAGCATTGTACACAGAGAATCCCCATGCCAGCAGGGCCACTGTGACAATGAGGAAAAACAGGTGCTTCACCTTAAGGTTCATACACTTCTCTGTGATGGTTTTGGGTTTGGGTTTTCCATTTTGCTTAGGTTTCTTTTTTGCTGCTGCAGCCATTGATGCTTAGATGTTTAGCTCTCTAAAAAGAAAAGAGTGAATGGTTTTAGGTCTTTAAAAGTGATATTTTCTCCCTCTTCATCTTTTCTATGTATTGTACTTTATTGTAAATTTAATAGTTAGATGCTTAGGGTACCTGTGTTTAGGAATTCTGGGTACAGTATTTTTATTCAATTTACGATGAAGTGTTTTGATTTAAGTTAGTGATTCACAGTGCAACATACATCATAAGTCACAGGATCCTGCATCATGCTACTGACAACTAGTACAGTAAGGTTTGGATTTTTTGGCTTAAATTTGCTTAAATTGACTGTTTACTAGATAAAACATGGAGACCTCTCTTCATTACACCTATTTCCTGCAGTCATTTGATTTAGAGTACCATGGGCAGCAGATGAAAAATGGGCATGTCTTCTCTAGACACACATGCACGCACGCACACACACACACACACACACACACACACACACACACACACACACACACATTGAAATAGCTATACTTAAGACCTGAGTGAATCAAGTGATACGTCTCTACACTTTGAAGTGTCCAAATGAATAATTATGCTTGTGGATTTTAACTTCTTTTCACAAGTTTACAAGTTTGCTTATTGTCCTTTCAGTAAATTGGCTATGTCTAGGGTTCCCAGTTAGATGACTCTCTTATGTTAAAGCCAGGCTATAAAGTTGTCAATCTCTTGTATTGTATCGGTACAGACTATTAGCCACAGTATACCACTTGGTGTAGAAATGGCCTTACCAAAACAACCTTCACTGAGAGAGGCGAACTGATCTTCAGTGTTAACATGACCTAATGTATTAATTATGTGACTGTATACTTATTGCAGAGCTGTATGGGCATTGGGGAGACGGGGCAAACTGCCCTCTTGGCTGTTAAAGTGAAAGGTCTGCTCAGTATCTAATTTTGATTTCAGTTCTTTGCCAACATTAGGTTTCATGGTAAAAAGGTCTTTTTCTCTGCT